ATTCTCCTGTTTTCTTCAGCAAGTTTTACTGTTCTAGGTTTATGATCCAGTTTAACTTTGCTTCTGCATAAAATAAGGTTGAATTTTTTTTTTGTATATGGATGTTCAATTGTCTCAGGGCCATACTGAAATGATTATAACTTTCGTTCATTGACTTTTCCTTATATCTTAAACTTTTTTATAAATGTAGTTCTAGGTTCACGTGTACTTTAAGGAATAATGTAGAGACATTGTAGGCTCTCTTTACTCAGTTTTCTACCAGTGATGAAACCTGGCAAATAGTAGTACAGTATCCATATGCCAATGTTGACATTGGCAAAATCAGTACACAAAACATCTCCATCCCCACAAGTATCCCTCATGTGGCCATTTTATAGACACCTAATCCTCTCCTGCCAATTCTGTTCTCTAACCCTCCAACAACCTCTGTTCTGTTCTCCATTTTCAAAAATATTCCATTTCAAGAATGCTGTTATAAAAAATCTTATTTAGGAGGAAGAAGTTCTGGTATGGTAATACATAGTAGGATGCATATCTCAAAGAAACTAGACGATGGGCAGGAGAAGTGGCTCAGTCGGTAAAGTACTTGCTATGCAAGCATGATGATCTGAGTTTGAGTCCCAACACACATATGAAAATCCTACTCGTGGCCCTGATCCTAGAACTAGGAAGACAGACAAGATCTTTAGGGCTTACTGGCCATCTAGACTTGACGAATTGGGGAGCTCCAGGTTCAGTGAGAGACCTTGTCTCAGAAATAAAGTGAAGGCAGAGATTTCCTTATCCAGCAGATGATGATTAACAGAAACCCACAACACTGGGCAATGTGCAGAGAACAAGAGGTTGAAGAGTGCTCATACCTGAATAGGATGCCTATATCAGACTTCTGCTCCCAAGGCTCAGGGATCATTTCGGAAGAGGAGGCAGAAAGATCATAAGAGCCAGAGATGGTGGATGACCACAAGGAAAGTTTTCCAGACAGTTCCATCAGTTACTCCTATAAACTCACAGCAATGGTGACAGCATACACAAGTCCTATGCAGCCTCAAATGAGAAAATACCAGCTAGACATGGGGAAGTGGATAAGAAACCCCAACCAACCTAAGGAATTTTTGGCAACTGATGGCTGCTGGCAAAGGGAGGGAGAGACAGTCTCTTTCAAGGATGGAACTCTTGGTAGATTAACCACACTCCAGTAGATGGGCACACACTGAAGGACATTTAGGGATACAAACTAAACTCTATAGACCATATTATACTTATAATAGAGTACATTAAATTGGGGGGGCTCAGTAAAGGGAGGTATGGATAGGGGAGGGGATCTAAATACTATCAAATTATATTGTATGAAAATTGCAGAAATTCAATTAAAAATGTTAAAATATAGCCGGGTATGGTGGCACACGCCTTTGATCCCAGCACTCAGGAGGCAGAGGCAGGTGGATCTTTATGAGCTCGAGGCCACCCTGATCTACATAGTGAGTTACAGGACAGCTGGGGCTACAAGGAGACCCTGTCTTAAAAAGACAAAAAAAAAAAAGTTAAAAATATAATAAAAATAAAGTAGAGGGTTGACCAAGCATGATGGTGTACACCTTTAATCCCAGCACTTGGGCCAGAGACATGTGGATCTCTGAGTTTAAAGCCAGCCTGGTCTACAGTGCGACCGTGTCTCAAAAAATAAAATATTTCCAAAAAAAGGACAAAAAAATGTGCAGGAGGCTGGAGAGATACTTCAGTGGTTGAGAGCATGTACTGTACTTCTGGACCCAAGTTCAAGTACACCCACACTGGGTGGCTCACAACTGCCTGTAACTCCAGCTCCAAGGGATCCAAAGCCCTCTTCTGGTCTCCTTGTGTACCTTCATACATGTGGCATACAGACATAGATATACACATAAATAAAAATAAAGTAAATCTTAAAATACTGATAATAAAATAGACCGTGATTGAGGGAGGCACATGATGCTGACCTCTGTCCTCCACACACATGCACATATGTGTACATACACCACACACACACACACACACACTCATGATTAGAAGCATATCGAATGATTTCACCATGAAGAAAATATAGATGATTGAGGTAATAGATATGTTTAACCAAATACAAATGTTATGTAGTATGTACAAATAACAATATCAAGTGGCATCCCATTGTCATATCCAAGTTTTATACTTTTATGTTAAAGAATCAAAATACTCTCATTCTTAAGAGTATCTTCAGCAGGGCATAACTGCACACCCCTATGATCCCAGGACTCAGGAGTAGAGTCAGGCAGATCTCTGTGAGATCCAGGCCGGCCTGGTCTAAGCAGCAAGCTCCAGGCCAGCTTGGGGTTACAGGGAGACCCTGTCTCAAAAAACAAACAAACAAAAAAAAGTGCCTCAGGTTTAATAGTTTTCTGCATAATTACACAAGAAGACCTCTGACTAATTTTGTGAGTCTTAATGCCTTACCTTCATGAAGCTAGTAATTAAGCACTTAAATTGAAGTAGAATGGTATTCAAGAGCCAGTGGAATAGCTCAGAGTAAAAGCACTTGCCATGTAAGCCTGGTGACCTGAGTTCATTCCCTAGAACCCACAGTGGAAAGAGAGAACTCTTGAAAGCTGCCTCCTGACCTCCACACATGCACTGTAGCACTGTGGTTCATATACACACACATACATAAAAATAAAAAAAGTAATAAATAAAATTAAAATATTAAAAAGAATGTTATTTAAGTTTTGGTGTCAGCAACTTGCTACTTGTGTTACTCTACTGGTGATGCTCAAGACACATACTGCAGAGAGACTTGATTAATTAGAATATAAACTTTTTTTTCTTAAAATCAGGAGGAAAAAGTATGCTCCTCTAAAAGTAATCTCCTGCTTTTTCCTTTAGAAAGTATATTCTTTGTAACTACCTTTTTTTTTTTCTTTTTTCTTTTTTGGTCTTTTTGTGACAGGGTCTCTCTGTAATCCCAGCTGGCCTGGAACTCACTATGTAGACCAGGCTGGCCTGGCCTCACAGAGATCTACCTTCCTCTACCTCCTGAGGACCATGATTAAAGGTGTGTTCCTTCCACACACAGCTTATTTTAGTAATTTTTAAAGCATACCCTTAAGTTTTGTTGCCTTCAAATATTTTTACAGAACATAATCTGAAAGTCAGAGTTAGGGAAGTCCGGGATTTTCATTTCCAAATTGAAATTTATTGCTCATGAAAGACACCGATTTAACACCCCCAGTGGTCAAAGTCTTAATCTCATGGGTAGGTATCTTGTGTCCCTCAACAGTGCAGAAAGACCATCCAGTCTACCTGCTCTTTTCCCTCCCGGTATGTGCCAGCTTTGTTTGGTGACTGAGGGATATGGTGCTCATAAATCACTCAGTTTCTTAGTAATGTCTTTATCATGCTAGAAGGGTGGAAGGGACAAAGGCTGGCAGTAAATGGTCCCCAGCCCCAGTCGTTTCTCTTTGAAGTTAGTCCCCACTCTCCTCCACTCTCGAGAGAGAGAGAGAGAGAGAGAGAGAGAGAGAGTGTGTTCTGGCCTAGAACTCACTATGTAGTAGTGATCTCACAGAGGTGCACCTGCCTCTACCTCCCAAGTGCAGGGATTAAAGGTATGTGCCCCCAAGTTGGCCCAGGATTTAGGTTTCTTGAGACAGGATTTCATGTATCTCAAGGTGATCTTGAACTCCTGATCATGCCTCCACCTCCTAAGTGGTGGTAAACTGCTGCCACACTATCCATTTTATGCTGTGCTGGGGCTCAAACCCAGGACTTCATGCCTGCTACAAAAGTACTCTACCAACTAAACCACATCCCTAGTCTTATTTCTATTAATATTACATAACTAGTTAAGTACCTTCTCTCTTTTGAATACAAAATCCTTAGTTCTGGTTTAGTTTTACTTTGTCTCTTCAATTTTATCTTTACTCCTGTCTCATTTTTGGATTCTAACTCATTCTTTCATCCCACAAACTAGTTGTCTTTATATGTACACTGAAGTGCCTTAGAGACCTACATTCTCAACTATTTGTGGTGGTACAAGCCTAATCCCAGCACTTGGGAGGCAAAAGCAGGCAGATCTCTGAGTGGATGCTGAGCCTGTATTCTATCACTGTGCCCTCATCCCCACAGAAATTTTAGTTGTAACATTTCAGAAAAGTTTTCCATTTAAATTACTATTTTCTTCTCAGGAAAAGAATCTGAGTATGAGTCTTCCAGGGACATTCTTGGTAGAACAAATTATTATATTTAATTCATATTTTATGGTTTTAAAAGAATTGTATTTATATATGTGCATGTCTGTGTTAATGTATGTCACGTGTACAAGTGCCCACAGAGACCAGAAGAGGGCATCAAAACCCCTGGAGCTAGAGTTATAGGCAAGATTGTGATATGGGTGCTTGGAACTGAACTCGTCCTCTGGAAGAGCAGGAAGCACTCTTAACCACTAGTACTCCAGCCCTCATGTTTCATGTTTTAACAAACAAAAATGTATACATTTATATTTAGATGAATCTCACTGCTTCTCAGATTTTTAAAGTTTTCCTTCAGAATGTTCTTACTCTTGGCAAGGCACGGTGGCACACATCTTTAATCCCAACACTCAGGAGGCAGAGGCAGGGTGATCTCTGTGAGTTTGAGGCCAGCCTGGTCTACAGAACAAGTTTCAGGCTCACCAGCATCTCAAAAAATAAGCATCAACAAAAATGTTCTCACTCTTTACAAAAACAAATAATGTGTGTATTTCTCTAAGCCGAGAACTGAGCTAAGTCTGATAACATAGTTTATTCCATTTCATTGTCACAACAGTCCTATGAAGTGAGTTCATTGGTATTCAGAGACACAATCAGTGATAGCTGCTCATTTGACATTGTACTCTGATACCAGTATTAATCTAATGTTGTTATGTTCAGGAATTGACAAGCTTGATGGGTTTTTAGTTTCTGGAACCAGGAGGGCAGTCTTTGAGCCTGGCTCAGAAGTTGTCTCATTTCCCTTAGGTAATGGAGGATCTCTTCAAGGCTGCCACAGTGATGGTTCTGTCAAATTGTTCTGAAGATGTGGAGCTCTGTCACAAATTCGTAGCTCCTGGCCACAGGGTAAGAAGTTTTGTGGATAAGGCCAAATATAGCTTCTCTTTAGGTATGTTAGTTCATGTAATGAATGTAATCACATTTAAATTTTGTTCCCTTTTGTCTTATCAAGGACAGACTAGAACATATGCTAAAAAACAACTTTTTAATGTAAGTAGATACTATACCTTCTCTGAACTTGCTCATACTTTGCCACTGTATATACTATATTGAATTATAATTTTTGTTTATATATGTCTGCTTCTTATACTAGATTTGAGACAAGACCTATATTTTAATTATTTTTTGTTGCTCTTATGTTTAGTTCTTAGTTGATAACCAATGTGTCACCAATAAATTAATCATAGCAAGGTAAGTGAGCATAGTAATTATGTAACTGCTTACTACAGTTCATACCTTAGACAATCATCCCTTGGTATCCTAGAGATTGGTTCTAGGAACCTCACATATACTAAAATCTGAATGCCTAACACCCTATATAAAATAGCATAGTATTTGCATATAACCTATTCACATCTACCCATATACTTTTAAATCACTTCTAAATTACCTATAACACCTAAAACAAGGTACCATATTGAGCATAGCACATAGTGTGATTAGATCCCCAGGAAGTTCAAATAAAATAGTGACAATACAATGATAAAATGTATCTTCACATTGATAACAAAAGTACTTGTCTCCTTAGAATTAAACTAGTGGGTAGCAGTAGCATGTAAAACGAGATAAGAATGTTCATAGTTAGCCAGGTATGGTGTTGCACACCTTTAATCCCAGCATTTGGGACGCGGAGGCAGGTGGATCTTTGTGAGACTGAGATCAGCCTGGTCTACATAGCAAGTTCCAGGCCACTTTGTGGCTACCGGAAGACCCTGTCTCAAAAATAAACAAATAAACAAATAAATAAATAAGAATTTTCATAGTTGAAGTATGTCAATGCTTGTGTAATTTGAAAGGAAAGATACCGATTTACGTTAGACTTATTATATCACATGTCCATGTTAAAATGTTAAGAGTAGTCACTGAGGGACTTGAGAGATAGATGGTCCAGTGGTTAAGAGCACTGGTGCACTGTTTGCTCTTCATACGGTAGCTAGCAACCATCCTTAACTCCAACTGGAGTTAAGGGGATCCAACACCCTCTGCTAGCTTCTGTGGGAAGTGCACACATGTGGTATACTTATGTACATATAGGCAAAACATATACATAGAATAAAAATAAATCTTTTTTAAAAATAAAAGCCACCAGAAGCATAATGAGAGAGTGATGGTGTTTGGCTGCACCCATCCAAGTCTTGGCGACCCCTGCAGAAGAAGGAGTGGAAAGATTGTGAGGGCCATGGGTGGTGCATGACTATAAGGAAATAGTCATCCAGGCTCCTGGGAACTTGCTCATATGAACTTATAGCAATGGTCACAGCATGCACGAGACCCATGCAAACTCAATCAGACAAAATTGGCAAGTTACTCATCTTTCTAAGCTTCAGTTTCCCTTCTGCAGAGTACTTTACTTTTAAATTATTATTATTTAGCACCAGGCATGGTAGCACAGGCCTTTAGTCCCAGTACTTGGGAGGCAGAAGCAGGCAGATCTCTGTGAGTTCAAGGCCAGCCTGGTCTACATAGTGGGTTCCAGTCCAGCTGGGAGGCTACAGGGAGACCCTGTCTCAAAAAGACAAAAAAAGAAAAAAAAAGGAAAAAATTATTTTTATTTAATAAAATAAACTGCATGGCACATACTTGTAATCCCAGCCATCACTCAGGAGGTAGAGGCAAGAGAATCTGGAGTTCAAGATTGTCCTAGTAAGTTTGAGGCCAGCCTGAGCTACATGAGACCATGTCAAAAAGAAAAGAAGTGAAATGAAAAGAGAAGAGGGGCTGGAGAGGTGGACACTGAGGCTCTTACAGAGGACCAGTTTCAATTCCCAGCACCCACATGGAAGGTTGCAACTATCTGTAACTCCAGGACCAAGAGCTCTGACATCCCCTTCTAGCCTCTGAGGGCACTAGGTATGCACATGGTGCACATATTGTTCAAGCAAAGCACTCATATAAAATAAAAATAAATCTAAAAAGAAAAAAATAGGAATTCCTCATATGCATATAGAAACATCTGTAGGGCATATTATTGAAAAAAAATAAGAGAGTATATGTGATGTGTGCACTGACATTTACTAAAATACCTATTATAAATATTTGCATATTTATATGTAATCTGAAAGGGTACACAGAAACTAGTGACAGTGAATAAGAGAAGAGTCGGGTGGCTGTAAATCAAGGTGCAAGAGAGGTGTTATATACTTTCCCTCCCTCCTTCCCTTCTTCCCTCCTTCCTTCCTTCCCTCCCTCCCTCCTTCCTCTCCCCTCCCTTCCTCCCCTCCCCTTTTCTCCTCCCTTTGTTGCCTAAACTGAACTTGAACTCCTAAGCTGAAGCAGTCCTCCCACTTCAGCCCCTGAGACTACAGGCATGCCACCCTCACACACATACATGTGTGATGGTATTTAACTGTGTGAATATATTAGCCATCAAGCAGCTAAATTAAAACAATTCTTAACTTGGCTTATGTTAGTCATGAGAGTTTCTTTTTTTCTTTTCTTTTCTTTTCTTTTCTTTTCTTTTCTTTTTTTTTTGGTCTTTTTGAGACAGGGTCTCCCTGTAGCCCCAGCTGTCCTGGACTCACTATGTAGACCAGACTGGCCTTGAACTCACAGAGATCCCCTTGCCACAATGCTGGAATTAAAGGTGTGTGCCACCACGCCCAGCGAGTTTCTTATTAAGAAAACCAATGACAGTTTTCTTCAACAGACTTACAGAATAGATTACCAAGACCATTTTCCATGGCCTGAAGAAGCCCTTTGCTCTGACTGCCATTCCTAGTGAATTTCCTGATATTCTCCTTGTTCAGTATGCTCCAGTCACAACCACCTTTTTGCTCCTTCAACCGGCCAAACTGTTCCTCACCAAAGGCCTTGCACTGCTGTTCTTTGTGCCTGGTGTTCTCCTCCCAGATATTTATACAGTTCATGTTTTCAGTTGATGCAGGTTTCTATTCAAGATGTCACCAACTTAATGAGACCTAAAATCTTACCTAAAATGGCACCCCCAAACACCCTGTCTTCTTACCTCACTGTATTTTCCTTCATAACATAATGACCACCTAGCATTGTAATATTCACTCTCTTTCTCTGTCCCTCCCTCTCTCCTTCCTTCCCTCCCTCTCTCCCTCTCTTCCCCTCCTCCCTCTCTTTCTCTCACACTCATACACACCTGCACATACACTTGCACACACATCTTGGCTCCATGAAGGCAGGGACTTTCTCTTTTTTACTGTCTCCAATACCTAGGACACTGCTTAACTACCTAGAAGCCTTGAAATACATTTTTCAGATGAATAAATGATGAGTGAATGACAATTTTTAATCTTTTTCTCTTTGAGCCTCAATATTTCATACTTTTTAGTAGAATATTGGCATAGCATGGATTTAGAAAAACTGCTTGCTGAAGTAACCAGCTCCTTCTGTGCACATTGCATGTTGGTCAGGATTGGGGTTACAGAACAGCCACTTCTAATGCAGATCACACTTTTATAGGATTTGGTGAGCCTTAATTCTTGATTACTTAGTACTTATTTGTGATCTATATTGGAATTTTTTCCCCTGGTTTTAAAATGTCCAAGTTTAGAGTAGTCCCACTGAATTAACCTTTCTCTGCTTTTACCTTGTTTTCCTTCAGCATTTCTTATACAGAAGCAGTGGAGATCTTAAATCAAGCATCCCAGAACTTCACCTTTACCCCCAAGGTAGTATTCAGTGTGTGTGTGTGTGTGTGTGTGTGTGTGTGTGTGTTCAAGCATACCAGATCTTCACCTTTACCCCCAAGGTAGTATTCAGTGTGTGTGTGTGTGTGTGTGTGTGTGTGTGTGTGTGTGTGTGTGTGTTTTCCCTAATTGTCCTTGTCCTTATCTTCATTAAAAATCTGCATGGTAGTGCACACCTTTAATCCCAGCATTAAGGGGGCAGAGGCAGGCGGATCTCTGAGTTAGAGACCAACCTGGAATTAAAGATGTGCACCCTTACTCCTATCGTTTGGAATAGCAGTGATTAAAGGGTTAAAGAGGAGTCTCCCACATTTAGAAAGATGAAAATTCAAGAGCAAAATGACAGTTTAAGAGCATTACTCTAGAAATCAAGTAGTTTAGTGTTTTGCCAAGTGTATTCTGAATGTTAAAAGCTGATAGACAAAGAAGTTATTTGATTAAATACATTTAGGCAACATATTAAACCTGTTTCCTTTTTAGCAAACTTTTTTTTTTTTTTTTTTTTTTTTTTTTGAGATAGGGTTTCCCTGAAGCTCCAGCTGACCTGGAACTCACTATATAAACCAGGCTGACCTCCATCTCACAGAGCTCCACCTGCCTCTGCCTCTGGAGTGCTGGGATTAAAGTCATGGCCACCATGCCCAACCTTCATTTGAACTTTTGGGGGCCCTTAATTTTGAGCTACCCAAAATGGCTCTTTTTTTAAGAACTTTTTTTAAAGACCTTTAAAAAATATTTAATTGATAAAGATTTGTGTGTTCTTGCATATCTTCAAGGTGTACAATATAATGACTTAATATATGTGTGTTTATATACACTTCACATTCTCACAACAATCAAATTAATGAATACATTCATCACCACCCATAGTGTATATTATATCTCAAAACTTATTCACCCTGTAACTTAAAGTTTGTGCCCATCAGCCAACAGCTGTCTGTTTCCCCCAGCCCCAGTCTCTGGCAATCCCTCTTCTCTCCATTTTTGTAATGGGACGCCTCTATTTTATTGGCAAGGATATAGGTGGAAATGGGCCAGATGCTTGTCATTGTGCCAAGCACCCAGCATCAGAGGCATGTCTTCTGATTCCTATTCCAGTTCTTTTTCCTTGTACTTCAGATATTACCAGGCATCACACTCACCTTCACCCTTGCCCACTGCTGCTGCCCCTTCTACCAGCCTTACATGCTCATTTGGTGCAGACATCATCCCTCTTTTATCAGCAGCAGTTGAAGAGACCCTTGTGCTTTCCATAGCCAATGAAAAGTCCAAGGAAGGAGTCAAGACTGAGAATGAGCTTATTAATTTGAAAGTGGCCAAATAGGTGCCCAGTGGTAAGTGGAGGATGAAGGTACAGTCTGTGTGATACAGCCAAATGGGAGGGTCCAATAAAAAGGAAACTTTCTACTTGACTCCAGAATTCTCTACAGACCAAGAATACTTTCTCAGAAACTGCAAGTCTGTCAGGTGTGTGGTGGTGTACACCTTTAATCTTAGAAATCATTTGGGAGGTAGAGGCAGGCAGATCTCTGTGAGTTTAAGACCAGTCCAGTCTACAAAATGAGTTCCAACCCAGCCAGGACTACATAATGAGACTGTGTCTCAAAAAGCAAAAACAAACAAAAAGGAACTGCAGTTTGCTCCCACAGTGTCCCCACTTACTACAGTGAAGTTTCCTTATTCTCTCACTTCCTCTTCCCCCATTCCTTTTTTGCACGTAAACCACCTGGTGTATTTGGCCTTCTTTAAAAAAAAAAATAAATTGCCAGTAGCATGTTTTGGTTGACATCAAATGAGATGGGGTAGGAGAAAGTAGTGGTTATGTGGCTGTATCTTTCTGCATTAGTGCTGTGTGCATTCGGCTTTTACCTTTATATCCAGTGAGTTATGTGTGTGCTCATTGGTACAGACCTGGTACCTCTTGTGAATTAATACTGAGGAGATGCCTGTGCTTGTGATGAGTGAAACATCTAAGGAGTCAAAACTGAGAACAAAATCACACTAACTTTAACAGAAAAACCCAACAACATAAAAATTCTTGATTAGAGAACTTAAATGCTTTTCATTTATGATTGTAAAATGAAGGGCAGTTTTATAATTTTTTGTACATAACCATTATGCATAGACCAATCTGTATTTAAGTAGGGGAAATTACTCTAAGAAAAATTAATCTAAAATAGTTTTCCCTAATTAAATATCCTTCTGTTTAAACTTCATGTTTGAAGTGTGAGTTTGGGGGTGCGGGGGAGATTGCCAAGCAAGGTGATATGAAGAACGTGCAGGTGTCACCTTTGTCTATGTGATCCCCTTCATTAGTCCCCACCCCAGCTGTTAGATGTTCTTACAAATTTTAACAGTAACATGAGCCCGATTGCTGCTGTTGCTTTAGTTCTTGGGACAGTGTTTCATGTAATCCAGGCTAGCCACGAACAGATGACCTTGCACTGCTGATTCTTCTGCCTCCACCTCATGTGCACCACCAGTCAGCACTTGTATTTCTAATCAATTCTTTGTGTAATTTCTGTTTGTTCATCTCCTACCTTGAAAGTATCAGGAAGTCAGCAACAATAACTATTTATCTTACTATTCAGTACCCAGTATAGTACCTGGAATTTAGTAGGTACATTGGTGTTTACTAAGTAAATAGATTGAATGGTACTATTACATATTCATCAAAGTGCATCTCATATATGAATTGACTGTCTTATTTAAAAAGAAATTCACTGAGAAAAACCATCTAGCCAGAGATAGGCTCAATATTAGAAATTGATCTTCCATCATTTAATTTCCTGAGACTTAGGAATAGTAACTAGAGGAGACACTCTAGGCAGTATTAATAAAACCACAATTCTGCATGGAAAGTACTTTGTTTTTCTGCCTGTGCTGTTTGCTTGCTGAATGCTTCTCCCCTGAGATGGGGCACAGAAACAATGGTGTTTATCTACTGGTTTCAGTGTTCATCTTTCCAGGCCTTTGACTGGTCTTATTAGCAAGTATTTCCCTTTAGTTTAGTCAGCTGTGTAGCCTGCTGTACACATCACTGAGCCCCAGGGAGAGAAAGCCCTTGGAACTGATACAGGATATTTTTTCATGTTACATTTCAGCCCCATCTTCTTTTTCTCATTACAGTGGGGTGTTGATCTGCAAACTGAACATGAGAAGTACCTGGTGAAACACTGTGGCGACATACCTGTCTTCGTCATTAACTATCCGTTAGCACTCAAGCCTTTCTACATGAGGGAGAATGAAGACGACCCTCAGCAGACAGTAAGAAGAAATAGTAAATAAGTTGAGCTTTAACATGTCAGTCTAGATTTCCCTCTTAATTAGTCAGCACTTATAATTTTTCAAAGGCACCTCCTAGGAGGTATTCACACGGATCCCAGTGTCCTGTAAACAAACCTCTCATTTCTCTCACATAGGGTCCTTAGTTCAGCAGATGCAAGTGTAAGTGGGTTTCATTTTCCTTTGGCTTTTGCTTAAATAACAGGGAGGAAGTAACCTAGAACACTGAATAGCAGTGCCAGGTCTGCTGTCAAGTTCAGTATTGATTAGGAAACTCCTGGGAGGGAAAGCTTGCTGGACCACAGATAATGCCCCTGGCATGGTCAGGCAGAAGAGAAGAAGGCTTAAGAGTTCTTTGGCCTGAGTTATATATAGAAACAGTGTGGGAAGGTGATGGAGGATTTCTCAGCACATTCGCCCTGTCACGGTCCTCATCCATCTGCCTGTGTTTGTCTCTCTGATCTCTTCAGCCTCTTACCCCCTGGTTGTGTGGGTTTTGTTTTTTTTTTTCCATTCTCAGTTTTAGTTGATTTTATTCATAATTTGTTTTTGTGTTTTATTTAGTTTTTTTTTTTTTTTTTTTTTTTTTTTTTTCTGAGACAAGGTCTTATTATGTCGTTCTGGCTGGCCTGGAACTCACTATGTAGACCAGGTTGGCCTTGATATCATAGAGATCTGCCTGCCTGTGTCTCCCAGTGCTGTGATTAAAGGTGTATGCCACTGTACCCGGCAATCTTAACTCTTCTAATTAACTTTCTCTTTATTCTCTTTCTCTATACAAGATGAACCATAATATAGTATAATTTGACTTTCAAATACTTAATGAGTCATTATATATTTAATATTATTTATAAATGTCTGTGAGACAAATGCGCTTATCTCAAGATAGTTTAAAAAAACTAAATTGGGACTGGAGAGATAGCTCCGTGGTTAAGAGCACTTGGCCACTCTTGCAGAGGACCTAGGTTCAATTCCCAGCACCCACATGGCAGCTAACAACCATCTATAACTCCAGTTCCATGGGCTCTAATGCCCTCTTTTGAGGGCATTGCATGACATAGGTGCACTTACATATATACAGGCAATACACTCATACACATAAAATAAAAAATAAATAAAATATATTTTTTAAAAGCCCTAGGTTTTGGCCAGGCGTGGTGGTGCATGCCTTTAATCCCAGCACTCAGGAGGCAGAGGCAGGCGGAGCTCTGTGAGTTCAAGGCCAGCCTGGTCTACATAGTGAGTTCCAGGACAGCTGGGGCTATAGGGAGACTCTGTCTCAAAAAGACAAAAAAAAAAAAGCCCTAGGTTTTGCTATCTATTATCGCTCTGTGTACTTGTAGAAAATGAAGGTCACAGCCTACCAGCAAATAAAACATCCCTGTCTTAGGTATGCAAGGTTATCTCTTTGAATATCTTTCCTGTTTTCTGTTATAGTATTAGAAGACAGTATTAGTCATATAGTACCATCTCATCTTGAAATCCCAGGGCAACTTTGCCAAGAAACTTGTTTTCTCTGTTTTAAAAATGAAAATCTAAATTGCAAAGATAATTTGTGCCTACTGCCTCACAATCACACTTTGTCTTGTCATGTAATGTCCCTAAATGAAGTATTTTTTTTCACTCAGTTCTATACTCCTTAGGTTTTTTGCTTAAGCCTTCTCTGTAAAGACTTCCCTGGTTACCCAGCCGTATTGAGCCATATTGAGCCCTCTTTTTCTGGAGCTGTCTAACATGTAAAGAATTAGTAATATTTTATAGCAATATATTTTTTATAGACTTAAGGTTTTTATTTAATTTAATTTAATTTTATGTGTATGTGTCTATTGCCTGCATATAAGTAAGTGCACCCGTGTCATGAAATGCCCACAGAGGACAGAAGAGGCTGTCAGATCCCCTGGAACTAGAGTTATGGACAGTTGTTAGCTGCCATGTGGATGCTGGGATTCAAACCCCGCTCTTCTACAAGAACAGTCAATGTTTTTAACCGCTGAGCTATCTCTCCAGCCCCCATAATCTTAAAGTTTTAATTTCTCAAACTTAACACTTCCTCGAGATTGCACCTTATTTATTTATTTCACTTTTTAGAACAACTGCAGCATCTTCTGCTTGTTACTTATTCCCTCTAATATCCCCCCCCCCCCCCCCCCCCCCCCCCCCCCCCTCGTCACTGCAGAAGTTCTTGTTAGGGTCAGTGTTGATCTTCATGGTGCTAAGTCCATGGATTTTCAGAAGTCTAATTTGACCTCTCCACACGATTCAGCACTATTAACAACTTCTTGTTCGTAAAAACCCTCATATCGGCCAGTTGTGGTGGCGCACACCTTTAATCCCAGCACTCGGGAAGCAGGGGCAGGTGGATCTCTGTGAGTTCGAGGCCAGCCTGGTCTCCATAGTGAATCCAGGACAGCTGGGGCTACAGGGAGACCCTGTCTCAAAAAGACCGAAAAAAAAAAAAAAAAAAGCCCTCATACCACTTGGCTTTTTAGCATCAGGTTCTCTCCCTCTCCATCCTCACTGGTTACTCTTCTTTGTCTTCTGTATAGACTGCTTTTGGACCAATCCATTGGTATTGGAGTTCCTGAAGGCCAAGTCCTAGGTATTCTTTCCTTTTGCCAGGTGATTTCATAATGTCCCCATAGTTTTCCATTTAGTCTCAAATAATTGAGATATCTAAGTTAAAGAAGTCTACTCCAGACTTCTCTTTTGAGCTCTGGACTCATCTATTTTATTTATTTATTTATTTATTTATTTATTTATTTATTTATTTATTTATTTATTTATTTATTTATTTATTGGGAGGGAGCACACATGCATGCCATCGTGCATTGTGAAGATCAGAAGACAGCTCTCAGGAATAGGTTCTTTCCTTCCACCGTGTGGGACCAGGGAATCCAGTTCTGTTTGTGTGACTTGGTGGGACATGTCTGACGCCCTGAACTGTCTGGACTCACTTCTTACTGCCTCACTGACTACTACTTCCACATCTTAAAGCTTGTCTAATACAGTATCCATGACTTCTCTTTTCCCTTCTCAGCCAAACTTGATCTTTTCTTTTTTTTAGACAAGGCCTCACTGTGTAGCCCTGACTGACTTGGAACTTACTATATAGAAGAGATTGGCCTCCAACTCAAGAGATCTGACTGCCTTGGCTTCGGCCTCTTGAGTGCACCACCAGGCCTAGCATGATCTTTGAATATTCTCTCTTCATGTAATTGTGCAAGCTGCACAACTGAGTCACCATCGACATCCCTCTCTCACTTCCAGTGTGCAGACTGTTATTAAGCTCTGATGTTTTACATTCCTAAGTATCTCTTAGATCCTTTCATTTTTTTTCATTTTAACTTTACCGTTTTAGTTAAGATCTCTTCTGAGTCTTATATACATCTTTTCAGTGGCCTCTTAACTGCTCTTCCTGCTTCCTCTTTCCTTGGTTCTCATTTCAGTATGAGCTTTTAGAAAATGTCAATCTGCAGCTGGGTATGGTAGCCTGTCCTGTAATTCTATCATTTGGAAGGATCAGAAGTTAAGGTCATCTTCAGTGACATAGTTTGAGGCTGGCCTGAGTTGAATGAATGAAACCCTACCTCAAAAAAATTAATAAAAATGTAAATCTGATCTTGTTAGTTCCTTTCTTAAAATCAATCAGTGGCTTCCTTTTGCTCCTACTAGGCCAAGTAAAATCTGACTGCCTCTCCTCTGGCCCAAGGTATTATGCTCCACTCTACTCTCTCTCCCATGTCCACTCCACCCTTTTGTGACTTTGGGCATCCAGTGCTTCCTTCCCTCTTGGGTCTGCCTCAGCACGTGCTCTTCAGTCCTAACAGTCTTCCTCACCTAAGTCATTTGATTCATTGACCTACCTTGACTCTCCATACGGAGTCAGAGACTTCTGTTAGATGCTTTTAAGTTTCAGACCTAGCTACTCACTTTTTTAGTTTATTGTAATATTTTTCATTCTTTGAAAATTTCATACATGTATATAACCTATCAGAGGCAACACCCATGAAAAAAATTTCTTTCCAAGCAGGCATGAGATGCCAATAGCTCCTCAGCTAGGGGAAGGGCCTAGTGATCCCTTCTCCCTTCCATGCTGGAATGTTGACTGTCCTGATGTTGTGCTGGCAACCACAGCTGCTGTGAGTTCATGAATGCAGTGGCCCTGTCATATCCAGAAGGCAGCATTTCATAGCATTCCTCCCCATCCGCTGGCTCTTACATTCTTTCCTCTTCCTCTTCTGTAATGGCCCTTGAGCCTTGGGAGAAGGAGGTGTCATATAGACCTCCCATTTGGACTGAGCACTCCACAGATACTTATTCTCTGCACTTTGACCTGTTTTGAGACTTTGTATTAGCACTATCCACTGCAAAAGGAAGCTTCTCTGATGAAGGCTGAGATCTGCACTAATTTATGGGTATAAAGTTTTGATACTATGCTCATTTAAATAGAGTAGTATGCTCTCCCATAGAGCCCATGATCTCCTCAGACACAGGTTCTTGGCAAGTCAAGTTTTCAGTACCAGGCATGAGTTCCCACCTATGGAACAGGCCTTAAATCCAATCATAAAATGGTTGGTTGCCCCTGTAGCATTAGTGCCACTGTTGAACCAATAAGCATATCTTACCAGGCCAGTCATTATGAGCTACTAACTCTTTTTTTTTTTTTTTTTTTTTTTTTTTTTTTTTTTTTTAAAATTCTCCTTGTAGCCCCAGCTGTCCTGGAACTCACTATGTAAACCAGGCTGGCCTCGAACTTGCAATCGGCCTGCCTCTGCCTCCCAAGTGCTGGGATTAAAGGCATGCGCCACCACGCCCCACTGAGCTACTAACTCTTAATCCATCATAACCTTTGACAAACTTTAATTTTCTACTTACATGTATAACTAATTACTGACTCTGCCCTTTGTTCAGAGCACCTACCCAGCTCTTTTTCACTTACCAGTATATGTCTTAGACTAAAGGCATAGCAGGCATCTAAAGTC